TTTGTTAATATAGTTTCTTTTCTCCACTTTATTAGAAGTGTCCTTTATGTTATGGTTGTTAGTGTTGTTGTGCACTGTTGCAAGCAATACTTTTTAAAGATCATTTACTTTCTATTTTTATTAGAAATCTTTTTAAGATAATTATTATATGAGCTGTTAGCAAACATTGCTTAAGTGGGGTTCTCATCTGATGCTAAGCTTTATTTATTGTGCCATAGGCTCCAAATGAATATTTTCAGTGCTAACTTTGTTAGTGCTTTCCTCAGAGTTTGACTGGACATTAATAAGGAAGGTGTATATATTCCTGGTTATTTTTTAAATTTATGAATATATCAGAAAGGGGAAGAAACAGCATTTTGAAATCTTGTTAATTTCAGACTGTCAAATGGGTTTCCAATTGCCTGTTAAGCAATAAAAATACACTATGTTATTTCTTCTTATGTGCTCTCCATTACCTCAATCCAAGTGTAAATATTTATGGCAGAGCATTACATTTATTTTGGGAGGGGAGAGTTAGTTATGTTAGCTTTTGATTACTGTTTCTTGATGCTTGTTTTGGTGTGTGTTCTATTGCGGTCCTTGCCTCCAACTGCAAATAAATATATCCCTTGGGATCTAGCAGATTGTTAGTCCTGATGTTACAGGTATATTCCTGCCCTTTATGCTATTTCTTAAAGGAAACAAGCTGGCAAGGTAGGAAGCAGGCTAAAGAGAACTGCTATGGCAACATAGTTGAAGTGCCCCCAGTACCATCAAGGGAAAACCCAAGTTCCGATTGCATCAGGAAGGCAGAAATTAAAACCCTGGAGCAGGGACATATCAGTCTTGATTTTTATTTACTGCATTGGACAAACCTTCTATATGCACATGACTTCATTTTTATTTTTATTTTTGGGGAGTTGGTGTTGGTAATAACAATGCTAATCTAGCTATAAGTTGTACCTGAGGGTCTTCTCCCAAGTAAGCATCTTTTTGAACAATAGTATTCTCTGTGAATACTATGTGCCAGGCAAAAAAACCCAGATATCTTCTCTTGCCTTCTTAATATGGGAAGTGTGGCATCCACTTTTTATCATTGCTGCCACTGCTTCAGAATGTGATTTGCCCTTCAACTGATTTTTCTCACAAATGACTAAATGTCCATAAAGAAATAAATGTGTTCAGCCTGGATTGTAAGGAATAATTAATGTCTTTTATTTACAGAAGAGAACTAATTTTTAACTAGCTTCACACTATCACTTGATTTTAGAGTTCCAATCCATTATTAGCTAAGCAGAAATTCAATTTGCTGCTCAAATTAAAGCAATAACAAAATTAAACTTCTCTCAGCAATGGATTTTTTGAAAATTGTTAAAATTCCTGACAGGCTTTCAGTTTACCTGAAACAATGCTACCACCTAGTGACAAAGAAGTTAAATTCCAATTTATGCTTTTGTATTATGTAGCTGGCATTCCTAATTTTACAAGGAGTGCAGGATATCACGTTGACCCATTAGAAAAAAAATAAAAATATCAATAGTATAATATTATTATTATGCTTGATTACAAGGAGGCAGGTAAGGGAACAATCATGTTAGTTTATTAAAAAAATCTTAATATGAATATGGCCGTTAAAGGGACTAGGAACTAATAATGATTATAATGATTATACAAATTCAAAAAATCCTACAATCTTGCAGATTGTAAAAATCTAAACATTTCCTTGTTCCTGGTAAAAAATATTATTTTGTCACCTGAAAGAGGCAACTAAAATAGAACATTAAAAAACCCCCATCAAGCTGAACTCAGACATCTAAGTAAATAGCTCTGCTCTCAAGTATTTCATGTTGGATTATTAAAAGAACTGACAATATATACACACTAGGGACAAGGCTGTACTTAACTTCTTATTTCCATGTTAGGACCACAGTAGTTTTGCACATCTTCAATGTATAGATAGATCTTGAAAATAAGAAATGTGCAGTAATTTAAAAGCCTCTTTTCAAAATAATTTTCAGATCAAGAGAAATTATGATGGTTGAATTGGTGTAGGATTTCTCATTTCCATAAGCATAACATGCAGGAATTTTGAAATATCTATGGCCATTGTTCATGATGACTGGGATACATAATTTATAATCCATGATGTATAGTCTGCAACTCTACTTCCTATAATTCAGTGTGATATTATGATGTTCCCTTCTAAAGGACTCTGCATATCAAATGGGAAAAGTCTAACCTTTTTAAGTGTAAGGGTAAAATCAAATTTATCAGAAAGAAGTGAGACAGTACAGTGCTTGAAGATTATTAAGGGCTGCATGGGGAACAACTGGCTGAAACTGAACCGATAGGATGGAATGGCTTTGGGTTTGGAGTTCTTTGATCTATGGAGAATTGCCACCTTTCATCTGGATGGAGTGGCGCTGCCCCCGGCAGACTGGATATGTAATCTGGGAGTTGTCCTGGACTCACAACTCCTATTCAAGGAAAGGTGGAAGTCATGGCCAAGAGGACTTTTGAGCAACTGCAAGTTGTGTGCCAGCTATGCTGTTTCCTGGACCAACAATCCCTATTCATAGAGGCATCCACACCCTAGTTACCTCGTCTAGGGCTGCCCTTAAAATATCTGTCTTCGATTGGTTCAAAATGCAGCAGCTTGCATGCTTTTATATAGGTCTAGATGTGCACATAACACACGTCTTATATGCATGCTTTTATATAGGCCTAGATGTGCTCTCCTGGGGGAGCTGCATTGCTGAGTTGCTTCCGGGTCCAATTCCAGTGCTAGTTGTCACCTTCAAAGCCCTACATGGCTTGGAACTAGGTTATTTGAAAGAGCATCTTTTCCCAGTGACATCTACTTTACCCAACAGGGTGGGGAAGCAGGGAATGCTATTGGTCTACTCTCCTAAGGAAGTCCATTTAGCAGGACCAAAAAGGGCCTTTTCTATGGTGGCTCTCTCTCTGTGGAATATAATCCACACGGAGGTAAGATTGGCCCCCACTCTGACAATTTTTCACAAGGCCCTGAAGACCTGGTTTTGCCAACAAACCTGGGGACCCCAGAACAAGATATAGCCCATCAAATGCTTGTTTGTTGTTGCCAGGGCAGGGCGGTGGTGTGGTTTTTATATTTTGTTTTGATTGTTGTAAGCCACACAGACTCATTGAGAGTGAGTTGGGTGGCCATATACATTTGTTTAAATAAATAAATTATAGCATAAAGGTGTTCAGTGGAGGTGGGAAAATATTATGGATTGGCTAATATATGTGAATTTAGATGTAGTAGACCACTACATATACCTTGGCCAATGGATCCCCAATGAAAGGTGATATAAAAAAGGAAATTGAACGGTGTGTTAAATGTGATTGGCAGGCATTTGGCAAGTTAAACGTAATTTTCAAGAACCACCTCCTATGCCTAAAGAGAAAAGTGGTGGTAAGTGGATAAAGGCAGTCATAGAATGGATTCTACTTGATAAAAAAGCATCCAAAAACAGACCTAAAACAAGATGGAGTGATGACATCAGCATGCATTGTGGGCTCAACGGGCAAAGGAAAGCTCAAGACCGTATTAGTTGGAAAAGGCCTTCATCCTACAATAGATAGACCAGGAGTGTCAAACTCATGCTGTCAAAGTGGTGTCACGTGACGTATTGGGACTTTTCCCCCCTTTGCTAAACCAGACAGGGGAGGGGACAGCAGCTGACGCATCTGGCCTGCGGGCCAGGAGTTTGACACCCCTGGGATAGACATTCTCTACGATGATGATGATTATGTGAATTTAACTAGTATTAGACTCCCAATGTATTTTATTGCATTAGTTTCTGTTTCTTGTAGTTACATGTTTTCTTTCCAAACTTTGTTTTTATTCCATTTATCAAAGACGTATATCTCATTTTTTCCATTTAACATTAACAGTATTTGAAAAGTGCTTTTAAATAAAGTTCATGCAGTATTTTTGTAATGGCCTCATCATTTTTTTGTCTTTTAACATCACTGTTAACATATTCCAAGAACTTGACAACCCTGAACAAATATTAGTTTTTACATTTGAATGTCTTGGAATTTAGTTTTTATAGCTGTCTGAAAACACTTAAAATTTAATTAACTGTGTGCTTTCCCTGGTTACAAGGAACAAATCACTGATATTTCTTTGAATGCTGACATGCAGATGATAACCTTTCTAGAGTTAAATCCAAAGGAAAAATGTCAGTAACGTTCAAAAGTATTAGGGAAATAACTATTAGGGCTGAGAAAATGTTGCCATTTCCAGAGAGCGCCTATTTTGTAGCTACTACGGTAGGATACCTTCTTTGAAAGAAATGACGATTTTTATCTCATTTGGATTGGGACAGAGGCGAAATTAACAAGGGAACAGCAATGGAACGGACTCTCTCGCATCTTGTCACCCCTTGTTCTGTCAATGAAAATTCAAAAAAATAAATAAATTTGAAAATATAAACTACATCTAAAGTTGTCCCAAAATACCCGTTTCTAGATCATAGAAGCCTCTGGGTGCGCCGCCAAGCTGGGAAGAAAACAATGCCTTTTAATGAAAAAATAACTGGGCATCCATTTTGCACTGAAATCTGTTTTAAACGAGTAAGTAAAATACTGCCCCCTTCCCTTTCCTTTTAAAAACACGCTATCCGATTTAATATGACTTGGCGAGGGCAGAGAGCCCTAAGATTAACCAATTTCTAGGTTCCAACCACATCCCCCACCTTAAATAGAACCGGCGTTTTCGGGCGTTTAACGTTTAAACTTCAGTACCTGCCTCCATCACGTGGGACAATTCTAAGCGGAACCGGAAGCGAGGGCTTCCATGGAGTCCCTGGTTTGTTGTGGTTATATTTAGAACTCTAATTTGGGGGCGGATCAGGGAGACGGAAGTATTGGCCATTTCCTTCCATGTCCCGGAAGCCGAGGCGTTGTGGTTGCCGGCCCCGGCGAGAGTCAAGGAATAGGCGCTGGGAGCCATGTCGTGAGGTTCGCTGAGCTGCGGTGACGCCGCTCAGAAAAGGTCCTGCCGAGCAGGGTGGCGGTGGCTCGGCTTCCTATATGGGCCATACTATTTCGAGGAAAAGCACTAATCCGAAAGCGGAGAAAAATCACCTCCGCGCCCCCCTGAGGGGGAAGGTCCCTCCGCCGCCACGGACCTGGACCTGCTTCCTCCGGGGGCCCTGCATGCTGTGTTTCTTGGTCCACAGTGCCAGGCCACCCGCCGCGAAGGACCAGCCGTCGCCTTCCTTCCCCTGCACGGCTGCGAAGCCCTCCGGCGACCGCCACGTTCGGCGCCTTTTGCGCTGGCCTCCCGTGTCGGTCTGGGAAGAGCAGGGTCGCCGCCGTTTGCTCTTCTCCAGCCTGCTCTTTTCGACGCCTCTTCTTCCTTCTCCTCCGCCGCCGCCGCCAGCGCGCCGGGGCTTCTTCGGGTCTGCGCTGGAGAGCAGCGAGGCTCCCGTGGAGATGGTGTGCAAGCGCAAAGGGATCGGGCTGCGCGCCTATCCGCCGCGGAAACAGCCCCGTTGCGCCATCCTCCGGGGAAATGCGGCGGGTCCCGGCGCCCCTTCGCCGCCCTCGACCGACCCCGCCGAATGCCAGCAGGTGCTCTTGCCCGAGCAGCACCTCTGCCCTCTGCCCCGCGCCGTAGACTGTGCCCGGGAAGCTTCGCCTAAAGACTCCGTCGCCGAGGATGGGAAGGAGATAATCCCAAGTAGCTCTCCCTCGCACCTGCCGGAGCTCGATGGGAGAGAGAGGCCCGAGCCGGGCGAACCTTACTGTGAAGAACCCCCCGAAAACCCGGAGGACTGTTGCCAAGAATCGCAGCCACCGCTGCTGGATATTAACCAGCTGCCTCCCTCCATCCTTCTCAAGGTGGGTTTGCTGGGCATGGACTGTCAAGGGTGGTGCTGTCAGATAGCTATGATACGCAGACTTCCAAGGTATGCTGTGGTTATCTAGTTTTTTCCCCCTTGTTTTTAAACAAGCTGTCATTTAAGTTTTCTTCCTTCCTCCTGATCTTCAAGAACTGCTGTTCACTGATTTCTTAGATACCTGCGTGTTGCATTCTGCTTTGGCTACGTAGCACCTCTACCTGTTTCTCATTCCGGGTTCAGTCGTGTGTTAAAAACAATCAGTGGCAGCAAGTGCCTGGAATCCCATTGCAGGGTGTCAGACCTGTTATTAGATTGCTTTTGCTGTGCTGCTTTGCCGTAGAGATGGGAATGAAGACTTGGTGTTGAGGTCTGTGCTGTTTTGTAATCCATTTAAAGCACTGAGCTACAGGTTTATTGAAAGCAATGCTGACAAGGAGTCTTAACTGAAATGGAATCCCTGACTTGAGAGGATGATGAATGTTTTTAGGAGATAATTTTTATCTTTTCATAAGGTGATACTCAGTAATTCAGAACTTGTTCAGCTTGATGTGGAAAATTCTTCTCTGTTTATAAACAAATCTTTCAATAAATAAAGTTATTTCATATGAACAAGTGATAATTAAAGTGAATTATTTGGTGTAGCTTTGATAATTGCAGCTTTCATTTCTGTTATACCGGAATTGCAGGAAGAAGTAAGTCTGAAATTGGAAGCTGCTCATCTGCTTCTTATATTGCAGGGTTTTATTTTGCTTTTTTAAAAGTTTAACTGGATAGCTTGGGACTTTTAATACCAAATGATTCACAGATATGATTTCCCAAAACTTAAGCCTATTTTTTGACATAATATATATTTGAAAGTTTTAGATTATTTTGTTTTGGCTCTCTGGTATCTTGAGAATGGTTTGAGAAGAATCAAGCAGAATAAAGTATTATGTAAAATGCATAGGTGGCATTCAGGAAACTGTATACCAAGATGACACACATCTCTCTCTGCATGGAAACCAGGGAATATTTTAAAGATCCAATCTAAAGACCCTTAAGCGTCTACCTGCTGGTGAAATATAAAAATTTTGATATTTTACAAAACTGCTTTATTTGTTTCTTTGTTCCGCACTATTGCAGTTACTTCAGTTCTTCTTGAAATCGATGAACAAAAAGCCCTTGAGTGAACCTCCAAAGAATTCTGCCTTAACTTGTAATTGCTGTTTATAATGGTAGAATTTATAAGTTTACTTAATAGAGCAGAGATACTGCCTTCCAATTTTTTAAAATAGCAACTTGTTATTAACAGTCATTAAACAAATGCCTCTAATATATGTTATATATTCAAATTAGTTCAAGTTAAATGCTTATTTACTGTGGGTAACTTGCATTGAAATAATTAAAACAATATTCCAAGAAGTAGGCTACCAATGTAATAGTTGCACATTCTAAACATTTCTTCATTGATAGTTTATTTTTACTTTTTTATTTGGATACCACTACATTATCGTTTAACGATGGCAGAAAATAAAGACATCAGCTTTGCTTTGAATTGACTACTACAGGTAGTCCTTGACTTACAACAGTTCATTTAGGACTGACTTTCATCAGTTGCCAAAAAAGCGAACACAGTTCTAGGCTGCATTAACAGAGGGACAGAATCAAGATTACATGAAGTGTTAATACCACTTTATAATGCCTTGGTAATACCACACTTGGATACTGCATCCAATTTTGGTCGCCACAATGTAAAAAAGATGTTGAGACTCTAGACAAAGTGCAGAGAAGAGCAACAAAGATTATTAGGGGCCTGGAGGCTAAAACATATAAATGGTTGCTGGAATTGGGTTAGTAGTGTTCCAATATCTCAGGGGTTGCCACAAAGAAGAGGTAGTGAAGCTATTCTCCAAAGCACCTGAAGGCAGGACAAGAAGCAAGGGATGGAAACTAATCAAAGAGAGAAGCAACCTAGAACTAAGGAGAAATTTCCTGACAGAACGACTTGCCTCCAGAAAGTGTGAATGCTCCAACACTGGAAGTTATTTAGGGGAGATTGGATGACTATTTGTCTGAAAACCTCCAAGGTTAGTTCCAACTGTTATTCTATTCTGTTCCATTTAGTGACAGTTCAAAGTTGCAGTGGCATTGAAAAAAGTGACATGACTATTTTTCACATGACCATTGTAGCATCCCTGAAGTCATTTGATCAGAATTTGGACAATTGGCAATGATTTATATTTTAGTCAGTTTCAGTGTCCTAGGGTCGTGTCACCTTTTGCAAGCTTCTGACAAGCAAAGTCAGATTCACCTAACACCTGTGTCACTAAGTTAACAATTGCAAGGATTCACTTAACAACTGGGGCAAGAAAGGTCGTGAAATGGGCCAAAATTCTCTTAAATGTTTCACTTAACAACAGAAATTTTGGGCTCAATTGTACCCGTAAGTCAAGGACTACCTGTATTTAAGTCCAATGTGTTGTATCAGCACTAGGTATTTGTACCCATTTTTTACTCATCTGAAGCTCAAATGATGCATTATCTAAGGGTTTGTAAATGCAGACATTTTCCAGTTAATTTTTGACCTTTTTTCCATCAAGGCTGTGTATCTTGGCTCTTAATGGAAATGGTGTGGAATCTGTATTTACAAAAAGGGAGGGAGAAAGCAAATCAAATGCTTGTGAATTTGTTCCAGCATTCTGATAGACAAATCCTACTATAACTTAACATAATTTTTGACTGTTGTACCACTCCATCTCAGATTTTCATGCACTGCAAAGAAATTTTCTCATTCCATTTAATAATGTAATTGCTACAGATGCATTTTTTATCTATAATCCTCACCCCACCCCCTTTTTTAAACTAAATTCAGCCTAATGGGTTAAAGACAGAAGTTTGCAGCTATTATAAAAAATTGCTGGCCTAATGAACATATTGAATGTGTGCAAGTTTTAATTTTTAATTATTTTTCATAGCTAACATAGCAACCATTGGAGCATATTAATGAGTAGGTATAAAAAATATACAGCTAGGATTACATTTTTTTTAAAAAAGATGACGCTTGCATTGGAGAACTGTTAAAATACTACAATTGGCATGTTATTAAAAGGAACTTTGAAGGCATATGACTTTCTCTTTTTATTTTCATAGATATTTTCCAATTTATCTTTGAATGAGCGATGTCTTTCAGCATCATTGGTTTGTAAATACTGGCGTGACCTCTGTTTAGATTTCCAGTTTTGGAAACAATTGGACCTCAGTAGTCGTCAGCAGGTATGGAGTAAGCAAGATTAAAGTATGAATGTCTTTTTCTTCAGATAAAAAGTGATGGTTGAAAGATGAACATATGGAATATATGCTATGTCAGATCGTTACTTAGGTAGTAAATAATTGAGTATCAAATGCAATTTATAGTTATGTTCATATGTAAAACTAAGCACAGGTTAATGTACTATAGAATGTACTTTGAGAAGACTGTGAGCCACCAACAGCAAATTTTACAGATGTTCCTTTTCAGGCAACATGCCACCCATTAGGATTGTATATAAGTTCAAATAGATGTTTAGCTGAATGAAAATGTGAGTGAAGCCATATTGTCCTGTCACATCTAAAAGTGAACAAATATGACTCTTGTTTTCCTTTACTGACTTCGTAATGTTTTCTCAGTGGTTTATAGCACTTGGAAAATCTAAAAGATGTTTTTGCCCATGTATAACAGTTGCATTCTTCTAGCCTTTTCACATTTTCCTGGAGAAAGTTGGAAGTCTCCTACAAGCCACCTTCTGAAACACAAGAACTTGGAGGTGCATGTTGTTGGAACAGATTGAGAGGAGATTTTCTTCATTATTAGCAATATTCATCAGTGCCATAATTTTTTTAGTGGTTTTCAAAGGTGCTAATTTTTTACAAGTTACTATAGTAAGAAACACATAGAAGCTTCAAAGAGACATGAAGTGTTTTGCTATTGAGACAAAATATATAGAGTCCTTGGTACTCTCTGAGTTTGGTTGTTTGCTTGTAGATGTTCCATTACTTGATTAGATATCCTCAATGATAATTTATTGGGTAATGAAGCATCTGCAAGTACAATCAAGCTCAGAGAACACTGACTGCACAATTCATCCCTGAGCTACGTATATTCTCTTCCATTGGATACAGAATATGTTGCCCCTTTTCTGAAAAGGGAGCCATGTCAAATCTTTGCACCTAGGTCTTTGGTGTGGTTGGATGTTGCTTTGTGTGTGTGTGTGTGTGTGTGTGTGTGTGTGTGTGTGTTTCTTTTGTTTGATAGCAGTACAGAAGTGCAGTGGCTCAATTGGGGATAAAGGAATTGTCCATGATTGCACCAATACCTGCTTTTATATAAACCATTGTTTATAAATTGAGCATCCAGTCCAATAATTTATTACATAATTTATATATTATGGTGTTCCAAATTGCTCCAGATGGTGATTGAAGACATTGGAAAAACAAATGGAACAATGGAATCATTGCTGCATGAAGAGTTCTGGTATTTGTTATACCAGTATCTCTGTTCAAACCAAAACATGACGAGCCATGGCATGGTTTTATATTGTGGTTGAGATTTTCTATACACATACTCTGCTGGATCACAGTATGGCTTCACGTAGATAAGCTAGCTGAATGATGATGTAAATAAAACATTTTATGCAACCCAGATACCTAAGATCTTTCTTTGTGATTTTTGTCTAATGTGTATTAGGACAACGTGAACTTTTTCTGTTCCAGACAAAAGATTAGATCCTGGTTGCTTGAAAGTTGGAATAGTGCAAGGGATTGTTCTAGTGCAAAACTAATATTTCTTAATGCAAGTACTAGGTTTGGAGGTCTACAGAAGTGTTCAGTCTTTGAAATCTGTGTTGAGAACTAGAATTTTTTATTTTTCTCTAATGTGTATTATAGGGCAACATGAACTTTTTCTGTTGTCCAGACAAAAGACTAGATCCTGGTTGCTTGAATGTTGGAATGATGCGAGGGATTGTTCTAGTGCAAAACTAATATTTCTTAATGCAAGTACTAGGTTTGGAGGTCTACAGAAGTGTTCAGTCTTCGAAATCTGTGTTGAGAACTGAGAATTTTGTGAATGTTAGACATAGATTATAGGTAATTGGAAATGTTTCTAGGTAGAATGTTAAATAATAGCCATTTTAATTCTCCATGTCACAAAAAGTAGGAATAGAAAACTAATAATATAGGATCTTGCTCTAAAAGAATTAAATACAGATTATCTAAAAACTGCCTTTTCCTACATAATAGAGGAATTTGCAGTGAAGTACCAACTATTTACACTGAGCAATCAGTTCTAAAGTCATAATATATATTTATTGACATTATCATGTGGTTTTGTTCATATAATTTTGGATAAAGTGTAATTTTATATATTGGCTATTATTTGACAGGTCACTGATGAATTACTGGAAAGAATTGCATCGCGAAGCCAGAATATAACTGAAATCAACATTTCTGATTGTCGTAATGTGACTGATACTGGTGTATGTATGCTAGCATCTAAGTGTCATGGACTTCTAAAATATACTGCATATAGGTGTAAACAGCTGTCTGATACATCTCTGTCTGCTGTTGCCTCACAATGTCCTCAGCTTCAGAAAGTTCATGTTGGCAACCAAGATCGTCTTACTGATGAAGGTCTTAAGCAGGTAAGTTTCATAATAATTAAATTCTGTTGTATGTGCCTTTAAATAATTCTAAATATATTGTGTTTAGAATTCAGCCATTGATTGTTTTATATGGGACCACCTAAGTTCTATTAAACTTTGTATATAATTAATGTAATGAATTCAAAATATGCAAAATACAACAGTTATTAGTAATTTGCATGCTATTTTTTAATATGGTATCTTGGAAACTTTGAAATAAATTGTGATTTCTTGCAGGTTCTCACAGAATTCTGAATATATACCACAGAATTGGATAAATATAATTTTTCTGTCCCCTATATCATGAATGATTTACATGATTTTTAATATACATATTATTTTTAAAATCTTAAATATTTTTAATATTACATAGTATGATTTATATCAAGGATGCCCTATCCTTTCTGGTCTTAGAATTTTGTACTTGTTTCAGAAGGCATTCTGAAAGTAAATTTACTGTACTAGATAAGGCACAGTGTGACATACTGCTGTCTGTGGACAATTATTTAAGTTTGTAAATACACTGTAAAATTCTATAACTAATGTTATTTTTTTAATGTGAAAGTCTGTCATTCTTCCTGGTTACACTATACATTGGAATAGATAAACAATGCTATTAGCAGTAGTCTTCAGAGCTGTGTTTATCTCAATTTAAAAGTTTATAGAAAACTTATTCAATTGCTATATTCAAATGTATTACCAATTAGAATATAAATGACCAAAATCTAGACAAATGGTTTTGAACTATTGGTCAGATGTTATCAAGATAAATTTAACTTGGGGATATATTTTACATAATATTTCAATTTTAATTTAACTTTTATAGCTTTCTGCTGTTTTAAAGCAAATATATAAGCAAATTAGAGGGGTTTTTTTTGGCAGAATCATTCTTCAAGATTTTATTTACATAAATTATAATTAACTATTGAGAAAGTTAGAAGTTATCTTAATTTAAATTAATTAAAATAAATGCCTAGAACCTGGTAGAGATTCTGCATAATGGTGTAGAAGGATAAAATCCTAGGGTTCGGAAATTATACTTACATTAATGCAGCCTAAAAATTGCATTTACCCTTTTTGCTGCCATATCACAACTTAATTCCTCCAATTACTAATTAGTTATAATTCCAAGATATTCACAAACATGCCAGATACTTTCCATGATCTATCTGTGCCTTTGATATTAGCAATAGCACTAACAATAGCACTTTGACTTATATACTGCCTAATAGTACTTTACAGCAATATCTGAGTGATTTTGGCATATTGCCCCCAACCTGACTCCTCACCTTGGAAGAATGGAAGTCTGAATCAACTTTGAGCCTGGCAGGATTGAACTCTAGGCTGTGGGCAGAATTAGCCTGCAATACTGCATTCTAATCACTGTACCACCATTTTTATTCATAAGAGCATATTTTTGCATTTTTGTCTATTAAATTCAAATCAATATAAGAGCTTATGGTGTAAAGACCCATGGAAAGATACATGCTTGGCATCACAAGACAAGATAGAAAGACCTGCACATGGATTAGAGAACAAACAAAAGTATACGATATCATCAAGAGAATAAAAGAATTGAAATGGAAATGGGCTGGATAGCAAGAAGAACTGATGGCACATAGACTAAGGCAGTTATAGAATGGATTCCACTTGGTAAAAAGCATTCACAAAAGAAACCTAAAACAAGATGGATTGATGACATCAGCAAATATTGCAGGCCCAATTGGCAAAAGAAAGCTCAAGACCGTATTTGTTGGAAACATGCAGAAGAAGTCTTTACTCTGCAGTGGATAGACAATGGCTAGAATGATGAGGATAATGATGAAGATCTATTGAATAGTGGTTTCATCCCATTTTTAAAAACTTATCATGGTTATATTGTGGGGGAAATAGGAGGAAGCCATGTTGGATATGTTTAATGCCTTGAGTTATTTGTAAAAATAATAAGGACAGGATACAAATAATTAAATGAGATAAGATTAGCTTGGTCTTGGTCTTGTCAATTCCATACTGATTTCTGGCGTTTATAAATCAATCTGCAGTAGAATATTTCAGGTATTTATTTAACTCACATTGGTTGATCTGTAATTCTGCCCAAACATGCTTTTGAAGATAATGACAACATTTGTCCAGTTCTAGTCATATGGCACTTTAATACTTCACTGGTGTCCATGGTTTCTGAAAAATAACATATTTGAGCAGACTATCAGTGTTTTCCTTCCTATCATGCAAGTGGCTTTGAATTTGGAAATTTAATCTCATTCAATAAAATGAGTATTCTCTGACCATGTTTCTTTAAGCTGCTATTTCATCTTGCTTTTTATAACTTCCCTGTCTTTTGAGAGAAGACAGTGACAAGATACAAATTGAATAGCTTTAGCTTTGTTTTGTAATTTGCTACCATTTTAGCAATGTAAAATGGGAATTATTTTGAGCGAACTGAATAAAATGACTCTTAATATGAAAACAAAATTTACATTTCAAATTTCCCTTTTCCTAAAAGCACCCAAAGTAATGCATCATATTATAACAGAAATACATTTTAAAAAGTTGTCTGTGTACATGTACAGCTTTTTCTGAATAAAAAATGCATTTGAGCTCTGCACTGTTCGTTAAATTTAGGTTTGCAGTAAGCTACATATCATATTTCTTTTTTTAAAATAAAGTTTTATTGAGTTTTAACAAAACAAATAAAACATCTTATTTGAGTACAGCATGGTTCCGGGTTATCACATTTCCATACAGACACAATTTCATATGCATATTCATCTTATGTATTCAACTTCATATCTTATTACTCTTTTTCCAACTTCTCACTATTTCCCCCTTTACTTCTCTTCGTTTTCTTTTATGGTTATCTCATTTTCTTCTTATTCAATTGTGTTTCTTTTACCTGAATTTCTATATCTTTTTATTCATTATACTTATACTTTCGTCTGTCTTGTTTACAATTTCATATCTTCTCTTCCAACATTCTTGAGAAGCAAAATTACCCCTATGATTGCCAATCGAAGTGCAACACCTTTAAATCTTATTGTTATTATCATATGAAATCTCATTAAACATTGAATTCGTGCATTCTAAAATTATAACATTCAAATTTCTAATATCTATTTTATATCATGTAGATCTCATCATTCAGACTCTGCTTGGTACTTCCCCTTGAAAATGTAAAAAGAAAAATTCAAAAAAGATAGATAGATAGATAGATAGATAGATAGATAGATAGATAGATAGATAGATA